GGGAACTTAGCGATTGTGCATGAGCTTAGTAGCTCATCGGCGAAAATGGGGGAATTGTCTTAGTGTGCTGATCCGCGAAGAGATATGAGAGAGAAAGAGAAGAATATTGAGAGTGAAAAAGAGATAAAAAATAAGGGGTATACCTAACATAATAGAAAAAACTTTCCCACTGATTCAATAGGAAAATTTGTGGGAATTGTCTTCTATAAACTCAATTTTTTGGTGAAATAATTTTAAGCTCGCGGTTTTTTGGACCAAATATAACAGTTCGAAATTTTGAGCTTTCCAATGCATTAGTGAGAATATTAAAATTAATTTTTATTTTAGGTTCCCACCGTTTCACTGGTAGATTCTAAGAAATTTATTTTTAATGACATTCCCACTGATTCGGTGGGAAATAAATTACGCGCTTTTTGCGCAAACTAATTCCCGCCTATAGTCTGTGGGAACATTTTTAAGAAAACGGTAAAAGAAAACCTTTTCATTTCCCACTGAATTTTTTTATATTTTAGTGGGGACTGCCACTGATAATATATTTGTGGGAAATTTCCCTAGGAAATTTGCAGTTTTCTAGTAGTGGAAGAACCTTGTTGTGACGTTGGCCAAGCACTGCTCCAATAGCTACACCACTGGCGTCACACATGAGTTTGAATGGAAGAGGCTAATCGGGTGTAACAATAATAGGTGTCGTGGTGAGATTTTGCTTCAATTCCTCAAAGGCTTTGAGGCATTTCTCGTCAAACACAAATTTTGCATCTTTCTCAAGGAGTTTGCACATAGGATTTGCAATCTTGGAAAAAACCTTGATGAAACGCCTATAAAATCCGTCATTCCCCAAGAAACTTCGGACACCTTTAACTAAAGTAGGTGGAGGAAACTTGGAAACGATCTCGATCTTTTCCTTGTCAACCTCTATGCTATGTTTTGAAATTTTATGCCCCAAGACAATGCCTTCATCCACCATGAAATGGAATTTCTCCCAGTTAAGCACAAGGTTGGTCTCCTCACATCTCTTGAGCGCTTGTCCAAGATTTTTAAGACAGTGCTCAAAAGAGGCACCTACCACCGAAAAATCGTCCATGAAAACCTCTAAACAATCCTCCACCATGCCGGAGAAAATGGACATCAAGCATCTTTGAAAAGTAGACGGAGCGTTGCACAAACCAAACGACATCCGGCTAAAGGCAAAAGTTCCATAAGGGCAAGTGAATGTTGTCTTCTCTTGGTCCTCCAATGCTATGTTGATTTGGTTATAACCGGAATATCCATCAAGAAAGCAATAGAATGACCTTCCCGCTAGAGATCAAGCATTTGATCAATAAAAGGCATTGGGAAATGATCTTTACATGTGGCACTATTGAGCTTCCGATAATCCATACACACTCTCTATCCGGTCACCGTTCTTGTTGGGATGAGCTCATTTTTATCATTTTCAATTACGGTCATGCCTCCCTTTTTCGGCACACATTGTACCGGGCTCACCCAAGAACTATCGGCAATGGGGTAGACTACCCTGACATCCAACCACTTGATGATTTCTTTCTTTTCCACCTCTTGCATGGACGGGTTCAACTATCGTTGTTGTTCCACACTTGGTTTAGTATCATTCTCCAATTGGATCTTGTGTTCGTAAATTCCGGCGGGAATCCCTCGGATGTCCGCAATTGTCCATCCAATAGCTTGCCTATGCTCCTTCAAGACATCCAACAATTGTTCTACCTGCACATGATCTACAAAGAAGAAACGATTACAAGTAAAGTACCATTTGAGCCAAAAATTTATACCTCAAGTGTGGTGGAAGTGGTTTGAGCTCTAGTTGCGGTGTCTCAATAATAGAAGGCTTTGCGGGAGGAGCAGCTCTATTCTCCAAGTCGAGAGATAGCTTCTTCGGAGCATAAGAATAGGACCCAAGCCCCTCCAATGCATTGATTGATTCCATATACCCCTCCATATCTTCACCGTCGAAGTTTACCAAAATAGCCGTCAACGCCTCACCAAGGCATTGTTCTTCCATTTTCATTTCAACTGCATCTTCCACTTTATCAACAACATCAATCACCTGGATGATTTCATATTCATGTGGTAGTTTCATACCCTTGCTTGCTTTGAATGTAACCTCTTCATCATTCACACGGAATTTGATCTCATTTCGTTCCGAATCCATTAGTTCTCTTCCTATAGCAATGAATGGTCTCCCCAAAATGATAGGGATCTCTTTGTCAACCGCACAATCAAGGATTACGAAATCGGCAGGTAAATGAAACTTTGCCACTTTTACAAGAACATCATCGACAATTCCCACTGGTCGCTTTATGGAACGATCGACCATTTGCAATCTCATACTTGTGGTCCTTGGCATACCTAACCCTGCTTGTTTGTAAATGGCAAGAGGCCTTAAGTTGATACTAGACCCATTATCACAAAGGGCTCTTGCAAAATCATGTGCCCCAATAGTACATGAATAGTGAAAGCTCCCGGGTCTTCTTTCTTTTGAACGGTGGACAATGATGGAACTAACCCGGTGAGTCACATTCACCACTTCATTCTTGGTGGTTCTCTTCTTGGTAATCAAGTCTTTCAAATATTTAGCAAAACCCTGCATCTCTTGAAATGCTTCCACAAATAGAATATTCACTAATAATTGCTTGAGAATGTCATAGAAATTTTCGAGTTTGCTATCATCAACCTTCGTAGCAAGTCTTTGAGGGAATGGAGGAGGAGGTATAGGAATAGGTTGTAAAGTTTTTGGTATCTCTTTTACCTTTTCCTTTACCTCTTCCCAGTTCTCTTCTTGCACTTGCAAATCTTCCGGACCTTTTCAACTTCAACAACACTTGGCTCTTCAACCTCAACCCCTTGTTCGGACTCTTCTACTTCAACCACTTGTTCACTCTCTCCTTGTAGTACCCTCCCACTCTGAGTAGTAATTGCCATGATATGAGAAGTTGGGCTACTCCCACTACCCCTTGGGTTCGTAATTGTGTCACTAGAAAGTGTTCCCTTTTGCTTTGGATTTTGTTCCCTAAAGAGGTCTCTCATTTGCATCTCTAATTTTTGAATTGATACGGTATGAGAGCCAACAAGCTCGGTCATGTTCCTTATAGAAGTGTCGGACTTCTCTTGATTTTGCAATACCCATTCAAGCATGCATTCCAAATTGGAATCACTTGAGGATCCTTGATTTGAATATTGACCCTTTGGAGAAACATAAGGGTTTGAACTCTAATTTGAGAAGTTGTTATTGTTATTCTAATTTCCTTGATTTGAGCCACCTTGGTCATTTTGCCACTGTGTTGTCTTGCCCTTACGAGTTAGGCCTCCATTGATTTTGTTGTCCTTGACCTTGGTATTGTTTCCTTTGATATCATCCTTAAGAGTTGTTGATATAGTTTGCTTTCTCAAAGTCTTCATTTGATATGGCTTGCACATCCTCCACCACATTCACTTTCTTTGTTTGGCTTTCCGTGAACATTTTTGTCAACACATTGACATTTGTGGCAAGCCCTGCGATTACTTGATCTCTATCTTTATTCTCCTTAAATAGGTTGGTCAAGGAGGGAGAACTATATGCAATTCCACATGTGGTGTCCTCGGAGTGTCAAGCTTGATTATGTTG